ATAATGCACACTCATGGTACGAAGTATGTCAGGTTTTTTAGAGAACATCATTAATATTATTATTATTATTACTATTCTTCTTCTTTTCGTGTCGGTCAGTAGTAGAATTTTAAATTCCCTTCTTCTCCCAGAAATCAACAATTTTAATTGCATTGTCCTTTCATTGTTGTCCTATAAAATCAACGGTCTCTCCTCTTACTGGTAGTATTGGACATTCCAATAGATGTCTTGCTGTTTGTATGTTCAATTGTAATTAATTATTATTATTATAAATGTGAAAATGTTGTAACATAATACAGTATATTACTGTATTATGTTATATAGTATAATATAATCTCACTAAATAAAAATTATTGCAGTAGCTGAATTAATAGCGTTGTTAAAAGTTGTGTGGGATTTGGATTACTAATATTATTATTTATTACAACTAAGCAATACAATTTAATGTTTTTGAGAAAATAATAATAAAAAATAAGGTATTTCAAAAATACTGAATAACGATAAATGACCTTGTAATCTTATTTATTGACATTGTAAAAAATAAGAAAACGAACAACTACAGTATAATATTTTTTAAATTGTTTTTTTTTTTTTTTTTTAGTATAGTTTCTATTATTTCAGAATATCTAATTTATGATAAATATACAGTTTTTTGATATAAATATAAAAACTGGTTTTATTCATATACAATATTATAATTTATGATATTCTTCTAATATAGTCAAGTAAGTATCTCCTAATATATATATTCACTCAACGATAATTATTAAAGTTTGTGGGATACATTTGAATGTAATTTTTTTTTGCTCCCACACGAAATACTTAGTGGAATTCAAAAGTATTTTATTACAAGAAATAAACAATTAGTTAATTTATTAATTTATTTATATAATAAAGCAGTTTTATTAGCATAATAAAAAATAATGTTTAATCATTATAAATATATATATAACATGTAAAACATAGTATATGTATTATATAAAAATATGCGAATATGGACACTTTCATTTACACAACGTCTGATTTTGATCTACTGATACGCGTCATATTCAATGTTTTCCCAGTAAAATAAAAAGTTTTTTGATAAGATCAAATATTCCAGTAAAAATATTTAAGTACAATCCTTATTACATATTTTTCTTTCGTATAATAATATTATAGAATACTCGATTAGGAACTGTACATATTCTCATAATATTTGTTAAATATTATTTAAACCAACTACACAGAAAATACTTGCGGTAAAGATACGAAAGACATTTCTATATTCAATCGATGATTAGTATGAATATTTTTCATTTGATAAATTTGCATTTTATTTAATGGAAAATTGCCTATATGTAACCCCTTAAAAAGACGTGCTACCCTCTCGTAATTAAGGGGCAACGTATAGGCAATTAATCGTTATTTTATCAAATTTATTTTTAACTTCATTTATAAGTAATCAAGTGCAATCAAAAGTATTATTATAAAATCGTGAAATTAACAAAAATGTTTATGGAAAAACCATTTCACACGAGCAAAAATTACTCAGACTATAAATTTAATTAAAACACAATCCCATCATAAACAAAAAAGAGAACCTACACTGTGCAACGTTGGTTTTAGTTATTCTATTAAAATAGTTATTAGAGTTTGAAAAACTTGAAATTATCGGATTTGAGAACAATGATAACTTTTTTTATTTGTGGTATCAAAAAACTAAAACCAACGTTGCACAGTTTCAAGTTCTCCTTTCTTAATAGTGAAATTTATTTCGTAATTATGTCTATGGCCCGAGTAGTTTTTCCTCGCGTAAAACAGTTTTTAAAGTCAAATTTCGAGTGGTAATTAATTTCCCCTTTAACAGTAGTAGCGTTAAGTTTTATTTCCTATGAAGCAGTTTCAGTAAAATTGCAAATAACCTCATTCAACCCAAGCCTAGAAGTATTAAAAGCTATAACTAAAGTTAATAATTAATACTTACTGTACTTAATCTTTTTCGTTAACATACCTGCCTATCCCCAATAAAAAATGTATAAAACATACGCTCACCAACCTGCTTAAATATCGGCCGTGAAGCGATTGCTCCATACAGGATTCATACGGCCGCTGTCTGCTAATAGCTAATATATTTTCATCGTATAATATTGACATTTTAGATTAGGTATATTATTATAATAATTATTATATATTTTCACGTAATATTCACTTAATATATTAATAAAAATAAATTTGAAACGTTAACAACGAAAATATTACACGAGAACGGATAATATGAATTTGTATAGTTGAAGTTTAGTACCTATAGTTATTACTACAATACTACCCACTCAAATTATCAGGAATACCCTAACAGCGCAAATTTGTTTCATTTGTATAACAGTACTTAAGTAGTATAATATTGTAATTTTTGCTTAATAAAAGTTACTAATAGTAAGTAAACAATTATGATATTACTATATAACTGTTACATTACTCAAATAAATTATTATACTCATATTGTTTACATTCCAGTTGTGTTTATAAGATAAATATGCAGGTTTTATGCTAACGAATAATAATAACTTTGGTTTTGAACGATAATATAATTATGCACGTTGTGTATACGGACGGACAGACCAACTATATAATAAAATACCGTATTATCATAACGCTGATCCAGTTTTATTATTTTCCATAAATAATTATTAGTTTGAATTTTCAATCGAATACCTACATCAAAATAATATGTTAAATTACACCTATTGCATGTTATTTTAAAAAATATTCCGTATCAACTGCACCTTTAAAAATGTGAATTGTCCACCCGATGATAAACATATTTTTTTTAAAACGCTTCCTAAAAAAATGTAATTTATTTTGAAGAACTGTTGGTAAAAATTTTCCAATTTTTTATGCATTGTTGCCTTTTACCATAAAAGATGTGAAATGTTCGACCGGTGTTACCTACTTTATATTTGTAACACCTTTTTATATTCCAATAACCTACATTAATAGAGAAAATAGATAGAATTTTTTAGATCTTTAATAGCTGTCACGGCAAATAGTAAACTGAACTATTTCAGAATCGTGTTTTGTTTACAATGGTTTTTCACTGGTTTCAATACTTACGATAAATTGTTGGAACACATTATGTACAATAGAATGAAACAAGCAAATAGAAAATAAGCAATCGTATGTAATTCATAAAATGGGAAGAAATAATTCAGGCCCATGATTATTGGAGGATAATGACAGTGACGTCTAAAATTCTTCGTCGAAAACCGTCACGGTGCGGAGCCTATCTCATAAATTGAAATACATTTTTAAATAAAATATTATAAAAAGAAATAATATTAAATGCCATTACAAAGTGTAAATAAAAATGAACTGTTCTTCTGTTTGATAATTTTTTTTTTTTTTTTTTACATATATGTATAATATATTGGCTTTACCTGACAATAGAAATAGTTGTCTGAAACTTTTAGACATCCTTCTCGAAATGAATAATATTAGAATGTAGGGACGAATAATATTACATATTATAATTAAATTGCCCGTAAACCGAAGACAACAAAGTAAACACTGCGTATGCGAAGAGATCCTAAAGAGATTATCTAAAGTTATAATATATGCATCTAGAGTATATATCGTTCTCAAAGTAAATTTGGTTTTCTCTTATGTAATCATCGAATTTAGTTTCTCTTATAATACATAGGTACATCTTACCGTCGTCGTAAAATTAAACGAGTAAATACTAATGGCACGTAATTTTTGTTTACATTGATTGCATAATATTATATTATATTATAATATATTAATGTACCTACGTTACATTACGATATTATTATTGTATATGTATTATGTAGTCTGTCTGACATGTTTTATTCATTTATATTTCATTTTCAAGTACCTAGTAAAAAAAAAAAAAAATAAAAAAAATATGTATATATAAAGTATGTTATGCATTTTTTTTTTCTCCCCCCGGCAGATCTCTGGTATTTAATCGCGCCATTAAACTCGAATAATAAATGTGCGTGTTTGAAAGGAAAAAATTAAATTACATTTCCGCAGTTTTCCAATTGAAATATGATTATAAACATGATTGCGAATTTAAACGTTTAGTTTAAACTTTGCGTATTTAAAAGATACATAATAATATGCATATAAATATATATTATACACGACTTCAACGAGTAGTACCTACACACCTATACGATGATTTATTTGATATATTTACATTAAAAACAGTTTTCGTAGACAAAATGGTAAATTACCGTGTATATCGAGTTTACTCACATAAAAAAAACTTATAACTATTGCAATTAGCGCTAGAAGTGAATCGATTAAAACTTAGATGGTAATAATTTTCGTTCGTATTAAAACGTGACTAATTTTACATTGACGATTTTTATTCGTTCCACTTTTAAGCAATGTTTAACTATTTTTAGTAATAATTAATAGATTCAAAGAGGTCCTTCCAGTTTTCATTTCCTTAAATACATAATAACAAGAATTATAATAAGTTTAGAAGTTTTTGGAAAAGAAAAGATATTGAAAAGAGTTTTTCGGAACGAAAAATATCACGACGGATATTGAGAAATCAGAAAAAGAAAGTGATAGAGGAACAATACGATAGTGTATAGGATTAACAGAAGTCGCAAAAAGCATTATATTATACAAATGGATAGAACTTGTTTGGAAATCGAAAGGATTACTCGGATAATGACAAAGAAGATTAAACTACTCAGAGGTAGAGGAAATGTAAAATTACTGGGCATGGTGAAAGAGAAATAGGTAGCTGAAGACACAAAGAGATGGAAACAGATAGTTTCGTACCAACAGGATTAAGCCCTAATCATAGTTTCTAAAAAGTATTACATATTTATATCCCATCGACTCATAACAGTAAAAAAAAAATAGTAATATTTTTGTTTGATGTTTAAGGTATCGATGTATAGGCAACAAAATTATTTTCACGCGTAAATGAGAAATAGGACGTATACATAGACAACGCCACGGCGAATATAGAAAGATTTATAAAAAATATTTAATACTTCAAAAAAAAAAAAAAATACATAATAATAATAATATGTACATTACATAAAATACGAAAATATATTTTAATAGGAGTGCGTTCATTACAAAATTAAAAAAAAATTATATTTTATATTTATTACTTTATTAGTTACGTATACGACGCAATTTAAAATGATTAAAAAAAAAAAAAAAAAAATGATATTATTTTCTTTAAAAAAATCTGAAAACTGGATTCAAGTAGGTATGTATTGGCAGCAAAGGATGCAATGAAACGGTGACGGCAGTGAAAATCATCGCATAAGATGCGGTGATCACTGCGCGGTTACCGCGATTAAAGTCATTAACATCCCTAGAGGGCGGCTGGCTGCTAGTCGGTGACTGAACCGTGGTTACGGTAGTACCCTTACACGCAATTTCCTTGACCAGAAGATCCCTGTAATCGGCCAGAGTGGTGTTCTCGAACTTCAGGCAGTAGTTATCGGTCAGTAGTTGGCTTAAGCGGCTGTCGGCGTCCGGCATCAAATCCGGGAACACCTGGTTTATCTTGAGTACGCTGATCCGGCGTGGGTCGCAGTCGCACACGAACCGATTGCCGGTCACGCGGACTCCGGCATCGATGTCAAACAAGAACCGTCCCAGGTCCACATTTTCCACCTCGTTGTCACGGAATTCGACAGCTCGTTCCGATTTGAACAGTTGCAGGTCAGCCGGTAATGTTAGGAATTTGTTTCCGTCTACATAAACAGTCGGACCGTCTGGCTGGAGCACAGAAACGCTATCGTTGACCATGGACGCGAAGCGATTGGCCGACAGACGGATGCTGGACTTGGAATCATCCACCACCACTGCGCCAGAAGTCATGTCTTCCAGAGTACTGTTCAGTATCCTCAGCATCCCAGACCGGACTGAAACGCCACCAGACGCCACTGATTTAATCTGTAAAAAAATCACGTAGATATGATTGTGGATTTTTAAGAGGTTTTTTTTTTTTTGTGCATTTTATACCCTACTTAATTATGTGTAAAAATCGTATTGTAAAGTGGAGAAATCGTGGAAGATGGAATCAAATCAAATTAGTGAGTGAGGCTGGAATTCTGAATTCTGAGGGAAATGACAAGAGTGTCGCGAGATAAAAAAGTGTTAGGTCAAAAGTGAAGTTGTATAGTACAAAACTGTTGTGAACTCACCGAAGATCAAAGAACATTGAATAAAAGAGGTGAAACAAAATCAGAAGCCGTAGATAGGTGCATTTTAAGACTGATACGTAGCGTAGTCCTGGATAGGATTAGGGAAATTAATATTAAGAGAGCTATTTAAACATAATATAACTTGATTTTGATACAATATGTTCATTTGTCCAGTCTAACTGGAGAGCTACTTTAGAGAGGTTATTTTTGGATTTTTCCAAGAGTTTTCCCAGCAAATGTGAAAAACCGGGAAAAAACATTGGATTAACGTAGGAATACCGGTACAATGTTAAACATGTATTATTAAAGAAAATTTATAATGTCTATTTAATTATTTTACTATAATATAACATATATATTGTTGACAAAGCATCTTACTATTAACTCCTTACAGATATACATTAAATTCCCTTCTGTATCCTGCGTATCCAACTTCCCATCTATAACAACGGCTGCACCCACGTGCGTAGTATTCCGTCCTTTTTTTGGTTATAGTATAATATGAGGTCAAACAAAATGAACTTATAGTGTTGTACGAAAGACATTTCGACGATAAATGTAATATTTAATATTTATCTTTGGATTTTTTTTGAATTTCTGTTATTTTATAGTACTTTATATTATTATTATTATCATTCGATTATCCATAATATATAAGCGCTAAAATGTATCACTAATGAATATATAAATATTCCTGTAATGGCTAAATAATGTACCTAATTATACGGCGTTTAATGAAATAATATTTCATTCGACATTCGTGTTTGAATTTTTTAACTTTTATTTATTTTTTTTTAATTACTTTATGTTACTATCGTAATCATTTTATGTGCTAGAAAGTTTGATTTAAGTAATTCTTTCCCACTACGTATTCAAAACGTCATTCGAATTAAAAAAGTTCTTTAATGATATTCTGAAAACTCGCGTAAAAGATGTTTGTAGGTATAGTAAACTTTCTCGGTTTAAATTTTGCAGCTTTATAACGAACTCCGGCATAAAGAGATCGAGATTAAAATAACTACTACACTTAATTAACGAATTACCGAGAATATAGTATATATAATATTTCGTCCGTCTCTAAGATTAAAATCAATTGTTCGTGTACATATTATAAAATTGTATTACTTCAAAATGGCTGGTGCAAAAATATCAATAGTCTCGTTTTTCACACAACAATATGTTATCAAACTCTTTAGATAAAGTTATTATAAAAAATTTGTTCATAGAACGAATACAAATTCTGAAATCACTTTTTATATTGATGCATATAATTCTATCTATATACCTGTATAATGTTATTTATCAATCTATAATTTTGTCTGTTTTTGAATGAATGTCAAAATTACACAATGACACACATACTCGAGACATAGACTAATATTGCACTTCCGTATTAATACAATTGAATTTGAATATTTTCGGGCCGTTCAATTTTCGTTTTCCTCCGCACAATAGTGTCGTTAATTTGCCTATACGGACCCCCTGGAATACCGGACGACAAGACATTTCGAAATCGTTTAACGAAAATCTGAAAAATAAAAACGATGGAATTCCGACAATCTGCAAATACGTACGCACAATCAAATACCACGAATCGCAATAATATAACGTATATTTGATGTATTATTTATTGTGCATGCAGAATTTGTTTTTCGCTGTTTGGCGATTCTTCCGGCAGATAGGCGACATGAGTTTTAAACGAATATACAATATATACATATGTACACATACAATATACATAGGTACCTTTGTGTATCGTATATATTATTATATTGTTAATATACAAACGTATATACTCGAAAGTGTAATGTTGTTATCGCGTGACATAGATATAACAAGAGTGCTATACATTTCGTAACGTTATTAGTGATAACTCATTTCACTCTTCCGCCGCACACAAAGTTTATTTCCATTATTGTTTGTATAGTAACATTATAAAGTTTGAAATTGTATATAATACTTCGTTCAACATTATCTGAATGGGCGCAAGAGCGAATGTTTTATAGAAGAAAATTATTATCAAAACAAGATGGAATTATTGTATTCCTACAAACGATTTCGAAAACTCGCGAAACGAAAATTGTACAATACGAACCAGTGGCGCAGCCAAGAATTTTAATCGAAGGGTAAGAGGACATTTTTCAAAACTTTTCATATGAAATCACGAACAAAATAGATTAGTATGACGATCACAGTAAGTCACGTTTTTGTTCAGTAATGTGTTTCCTCCACACCGGGCCTACAAGCCGATAATAAGAGACGACAAACAATCGTTTAATAATAAATGAAGTTAGGTAATATTTGGGCGGTTTTTGCGTATCAAAAAACACGGATCCTACCTGTCTATTTTTTCTATTTTAATTACAGATGTAATAAAATATTATTACTCCCGGCAATAACGGCAAGCGCTGTCAAATGTTAAATTTCTGGAAATGCATAAGCCTGACTATATACTATAGCCGTTATCACGACAATAGTTGAATCTGTATTATTATTATCATAAAATAACCAATTCATTTTTTCTTTTTCGGAGATTGGGTAACAAATGCCGCCTTCGTCCTCCACCCATAACTACGCTACTGATACGAACGATCTTATTTCCCGCTTATTGATTTTATATTACACTACTAATAATAGTATGATAATTATAATATCAATAATGTATTTAACATTATTGACAAATGAAGAAAATCGCGTTTAACCGTAATTTTATTTTTATGTATATAAAACGTTATTTACTCTTGTCCGCAGCAATCTAAACGTACATAATTTAAAAAATACGTAAAATTCCATTAGAGAAATTGAAAACCCCCGCGAATGTTTTTAAATTATAATATTATAATATATTACATTTTATTTAGAAAACCATCTGATAAGTATATTATTATTTTTTTTTTGAATTTCCCTCGAAACTATAGATACTTTATGGCATCGTGTTGTGTCTATTATAACGCGTTTATATTATATCTTTTTCCCGTTACTTTCAGGCACTTTTCTGAGCTCTTCTTTACTAAATAAACTCAATCTCGATAATTGGAGTATTTTTTTTTATAGGTGAATTAAAGTGATAAAAATAAAACTTAAATATTTTATTTAACTAAATAAATTTACTTAACAGAGTCTTTAGTCCTTGTTCTCCACGCCTTAAATCTATTGTTAACTGACCTCTACGGTTTCTTCTATTAAAACTGTGTTATCCGCAAGCACCATGTGCACCGTATCCTCATTGTTTATCATTGTGTAACACCGAAATCTTCTGTACTTTCACACTCTTGACACTCCTACTCGATCCTAGGTACGTGTCTACTATTAAATCAACATACGATTATCAAAGAACCCATTTCTTCATTAATGCCCACATTAAAACGTCCCTCAGGACTCCGGCATATGCATTTTATGTATCCATCTACATTAGTATAACTTTACATAAATATTCTAAAAATATTTTTATTTTTTAAAAGGACTTTTTTGATTGAGAAGTGTAGTAATATTGTTATACGATACATGTATATATAAATTTCAAAATGACCCAATCCTTCCAAGCTCATATATATTTTTACACACATAAAAAAAAAAAAAAACATTAAACAGACGAATGATTTTCCAGCAATGATCATATTATGCACGCACTTTGAATTTCTCATACACGCGCACGCATTTATTATTATTATTATTATTATTATTATAAAGTTAAGCCCCTTTACAAAACTTTTAAATGAAATTATGGTGACGAACGAGGATGATGAATATCAGTCATATGCGAGTCATAATACTACGGTCTTCGATACCATATAGAAGCTATAAAAGTATAAAAGTAGATAAAAAGAACCTTTCTGAAAGTTCGCCTTAGGTTATGTATATAAAATTAGATATGTGACTATACTTAAAAATGTTAGTATCGTTCATATTTTTATAAATTTAACGTAGGTTTAATAATTCCCCCCCCCTTCATTTTCCCGATATTATTATTTTTTATTTTTTTGGTTTTAAACAAATCGATTTCCAATATATACGCTTGCTGTAGGTAAGTATAAAACATTATTATAATATTAAAAAAAAAAAGACAAAACGGGCTGATAAAGCTGGAGAAATAATTATCAAACCCTTATAAATTAAAACGTTAAACTGAGGTAGGTGACCGCCTATGGGGTAAGGCATTCGTAAGACGGGGAGTGAAAAGCCAATCATGGTCATATTATAATTTGAAACGTTTCGCAGAATGAGTTTTAATGTCGACGATAATAATTGTTCGACGGTCTCTTTTGAATACCAATTTTTATTTATTTTTTTTAACGCTATGGCGCGCGGAGAACTCGACTGATTTTAAATCGGACATTACGAAGTAAGTTAGGTTAGGTTTTGAATATTTTATTGTATTTCAACGAAAACGAGATTAAAATAATATAAGTTACGATTATACTAACGTATATTATTTTATTGGAAAAGGGTTTATTTTTATTGTTATTATTTCCTGTCGTTCGGGTGAGATAATTTTTTTTTTATCAGCTATTATTATTATATATATATTTTTTAAGGTTATTATTTTACATATATTTATTTTTATTTTCACCCGCGTATTTATCATAGCCGGGTTACCTATCCACAAACGGAAATCAACGAATTCATACACGAAACGGATATTCTCACATTCTTTTCGTGTCGGACATTTTACATTCGTATCGCGTTTGAATATATTTTCATTCGATATTATAATAATATTACTATCGTTTAATAATTATTTGACTACCATTATAATAATATTACGTATTCCGTAAGTGTACCGTGTTTTACGGTTTTGTGTTTTACCCGTCGCGTCGTCGCGTCTGGTGGTCGTTCGTTGTAGTTTGTACCTGCTGCACCAAGTATACGACAATAATAGGTAGAACAACAATAATAATAATAATAATATAAACTCGGCATTTACAATACGATTGTCTGAAACACATGACGATATTATGTAATACAATATGTCACTCGTTAGTCATCGTGATAATGGAAATGCCATCGTATAGCCACGGACAAGAATAACATAACAGATAGGCAACTTCCGTGTCGAAATTCGGTACCATAAAATGAGAGTGCTCCCGGTGGTTGTGAAAACCACTGTTCGCTGACGCATATTATCCACATACGTTTTTCGAGTCGTTTCTTACGCGTATTGTTGTTAACAATACGACAGAACTTGAATCGCGTACAAGTTATCGACAAATTCGTTACGGAAAAAAAATTTCGAATATAAACGTTTCGACCACGGGGTCACGGAGTCATGATCACAATAGGCAGCGCGACTGAGGGTTGTTACCGTGTATAGACTACACCGTACAAATAATCGCTCTTATAGAGTTACGTCAGCCCGATCGCGGCTATACAGAACGCCGGAGATATTTTAAATATTTTTACAGCTATATAACAGTCGGCCATAGCCCGAAACAATGACGCGGAGAGGAATGCAACACAATAATTCGTCTGATATAGGTATAACGAGTTCCGTGGTAACAGTTTATATAGATATATATATATATAAAAAAAAAAAAAAAAATGTACACCAATAAAAACGTACAGGTACCTAATGTTTATATTATATACATAATGCAATACACGACACTTAATTTATTTGTTTGTCTCTTGATGTTATCAATTGAAACCCCGAGAGGATAATATGCACAACGGAACGTCACCGACGACGGGTGCTACAGCTGGTCACGACGACGATAAAACGTTTTATTTTTACGTATCTACCTAAGTAGGGCTATTATTATAGGGAAAGAAAAAAATAGTGACGAGACGGATAAATCTAACGAGAGTTTCTTTGGTTGGAATTTATCGAAAAACAAACAAAAAAAAAAAAAACCTCTTGTCTTTATAGTTTATATTAGAATATTATATTGTTTTTAAACATTTCGGTAAATTTTGTACGAAACAATCAACGTGGAAATATTATTGTAAAACGTACAGATACCGGTATTGCAGAGTTGACCGTGATAATTAAAGTCACGACTGGCGGACGAACTCGACACAAAGTCACGACCCATTAAAAGCGGAAATATTATTGTTGTGAGCGTCACCGTTTTGTGATAACCCGACACTATAGTAAAATACGGTATCGATGCAATAATATTAGGTTGGTTTTTTTTTTTTTTTTTTTTTTACACGGACGTTTCCACGATAAACAAATATAAATAAACAAATATAACTATGAACAAATATAATTATAAATAAATACCACTTTAATAATCTCGAAACCGACAATTTCGATATTATTTTAAATCACATTAATATATAGGTACTCTGTGTTTCACACTCGGCAGATTGACATAATATAGTATTGATTATTATAGGCAAAACACTGTAAGTATGTAGCAAGTCCTCGCGTACAACGTTTAAATTAAAATGGTAAATTTGTATTGAAAATCGCATCCACTCGGTGAAATAGTTCCGATAATTTTACGAAAATTCATCAATTACATATTATTATACCGTACTAAATCGAAACTAATTTTTTGCTCTTGGTGAAATGTTTACGAATTTTGTCAAGTGTAAAAAACGTTACTTTTTCGTGATATGGACCTGTACCATAAATTTGCGGTCGTATTATTTTTCTTTTCACTAATTTGGTGAAATAAAATAGATATTATACCGTATAATTTTGTTTTCGGTTGATTATTATATTAGTTCATACATAGTAACTTAAAATATTTTAATTTTGTCACACAGCCGTTGACCTTTTCTAGAATTTATTTCCGTTTTGTTGTTCGGTAATAAATGAAAAATCAAAATAAAATAAAATAAATCGTAATTTTTTAATTTTAAAATCGATGATGTTCAAGGCAATTCATATTTTAAGTAATTAAATGAAATATACTTAATATAAAAAAAAAAAAAAGGAAACAAAAATTATAATATTAGTGGTATATCTTGTTAAATGCATTTATAGTTGTTAAATGATAATAAAATAAAAAAGAAAGGACGGACATACTTCGCACGTGGGTGCAGCTGGTGGCGCACAATATATTTTTTACAAGGGTGTCGAAAATAAAAATATCTTGTTGCCCATCCACCCAGCTAGTCAAATTTTTTAGTTTAGGCATAATATTACTCAATTACCAAATAATATTATTAATGTTAAACAAATATACATAAAAATCGGAGTAAGCTTTCTAGTAAAAAAAGTATTCACATAAGAAAAAAAAATAAACATCGTTGTAAAATCAATACGTTCCTCGTTCTACTCAGAATCTAAAAATTGATGTTAGTAACGTAAGAACCTTAACTACGATTGTTTCATAAAAAGTTATCCTCTTTAGTACAGTTTGACAGAAAAATCACAAAAAAGTGTAAAAAAGAAAATGTAAATAGTAATTTCATGAAATGGAAAATTGCACCGAGCGGTTATAGATATAACCTGTTTTTGACAGAAATGTAAACTTAACTATAAACTTCTAGAACCTTTGATATCGCAGTAATGTTTATTGACATTCAATTAATTAAATATTTATACAGCCAATTGTTCATCGTAAATTTCCTGTATAACAGTGCCGCAACTTTCGCAGGTATCATATTAATTGTGTGCCTCATATAATTAAGCATTGAAGTTCTAGCGTCATAGACGCAAATAGCCGATATACTTTTATGGAGGAACTTGCATCCTATACATTCACATCTCATAGTATTGATTACTTAACTTAGTATTTACCAGATAAGCATTTGATTAGGAGGGGCTTAACAAAGTTTTTAATAGAAGGGGAGGCTAAGCATCCCCAAGCAACCTCTTCTCCCTATTTGACCATATGCCCGACGCGAAGAATCTAAAATTTGTTTACACTGGGGCCATACTGTAGTTTTGGCACTGTTATACGTATAGGTAGGTATATTTAGAAACTTTATCAGGCGAAAATCGTTTACGTCTATAATCTATACGTATTTGTCGGTTTCTAACAATTTTTTAATATCAATATATGCGTGTATTTAACTTGATAAGGCGGTAGGTTATAACATATTTGTATTGTTAACCATCGCGGTTTCTCGCGTTAATCTTATGCAGTGTAATATTCTCAATTACCTATGTTTAAAAATCAGGAACTTGTTAGTGACGTTTGCAGTGACATATCTGTGGTGGAAGGAACGAAAGGAGCATTCACCCCTCGTCCCGTGGTCCATATAATTATACGTGTACATTTTTATTTGTTTTTAATGTTTTTACAATATTGTATTGAATGAAATATTTAATAATATGATAACATGGTCAAATCGATAGATATTAAAATATTTTTGCTATCGACCAGGTCGAACTGGGTCAAGGTTTCTAGTGTTCTCACTTCGCTTTGGTTGATCGACCCACGAATTAAAATATTCCGGATACTTAACGATACGTGATAAAGAGCTCCTAAACCAAATTTCGAAGTATAAATGTATACTAACGCGCCAAGTAAATTGAATATATACTAATGGATTGACTTTTAAAATATGTATAATATTGTAATATAACGTTATGATATTTTTGAAGCATTAAAATATTTGCTCATTACTGTAACCAGCAATTTAATAATTAATATTTATTATACTAAAATATTCTACCATGACAGAAAAAAAAATTGAAAAATTGATAAGTAAGTAGTAAATATTAATAGAGAAATGTAAATTTTATTATTTAATTAATATTAATACTTTTTTTATTACTTAATACATAGGTATAATTGTGCATAAGCACTTAATATAGGCAATACAAAATTAAATACAAATATTTTAAAATATTTATCGATAAGAATATACTATACTAATTAAATTAGCCAAAAATTCAAGTTTAACCAATTTGGATAATTTTTTTGTATTTTGATTCATCAAGTAAGAATATTGTCTCATTCTCGTAATTATAATATAAAATAAAAAAATATTTGTTAATATATTAGTTTAATTTTCTAACAAGGAAATTTCAAACCATACTACAATTCATACTAAAACATTCATTATATGTATCTTCACACAAAGTGGCATATTTTAAAAGACATGTTTCTAAATGTTTTAGAATTAAGTAAAAATTACGTTCTGGGTTGGTTAGATGTCCTCTAGTTTTATTATTAAGTAAATCAGCTTCACTGCTTATAGTTGAAGTATTTAAATTTTTATACTTACAATACATAACTGGCACTTAGTACTTTTTACCAATCGTTTATAGCAATGCACCTATTTGAAGTATGTAAATAAGGTACCTAAAGAAAAGTGTGATTTAACGTTATAAACTAATTCATAAAATAATTTATTCAGCGATAAAATAAACGACACAACAGTAAAAAACTGTAGAGTTAGCATAATCATGATCAGAGTATCGTCCAGATCCCAGTAATGAAAAAATAGGAAATTTACAACAGTTGTATAACTAACACAAATTTAAATTACCAACCAGTAATTAATTTAATTCGTGGAATTTACAGATTTGGCGGTAAATTATCTTGTAAAAGTCGCCTCTAATATAATAACAAGCTGTTTTGGTAAGTAAATTTGGGTTTCAGAAAAATAGTTGTTTATATTGATCTGTGGGTGTCCAGTATATTTTAATTCGTGGTTCGATCGTTGTCTCTAGTTCTATTAACAAAATAAAACTGCCAGGATCGCTTATGCGGGATTGCACTGTTGCACATTTTCCTGGAAATAAGTATACCAGTGGATGGTATCATTAAACGATTATCTTCTATGAAAAACCGGGTATTATACTTTGTATTGTACATTTATAACATGCACTATATTATTATATTTAATTAAATACAAACGTCTTATTTCATGTATTAAAATTGTATACTTTACAAGTATAAAAGAGCCCAATTCCCGCGCTTATGATTAAAATTGATGTAGCTGTGACGTTACTTTTTTTTAAAAAATTGTTTATTTTAAAAGTGGGTGAAAATATAGTTTTCCCCCCTCTAGTGAGAAAGGCCTAAATACACTACTGGACGTATTTTTATTGTTATAATATAATAAACTATGGCAATTTGTTGTGTTATTCATTTTTTTTTTCCACATCTGATGTCGATAATATTTTTATTTTTTTTCTTAAGTAAAATGATCTAGTAAACGGTAAATTCTATGATGTACTCGTATTCGTTTTGATTAAAACATTTTTTTTTTTTTCTAACTTAGATATCAAATGCCGCCGTTCCTGGTTTGTGACCTTCGATAACGGTCAAATTAAAATAATTTTTAAGTCTTTATAGTGTATACATATACACACATATTATATAATATTTAAAGAACCATCTGATCTAATAATTTTTTTATTTTATATAACTATAATACTTATTATTTGTGTAAACTAAAATTATGTTCGATACGATCATATTTAGATGAATTGTGAAAATTATACTCAGTTTTTTTATTCTTATGGTTTCTTCTTAAATCAGCACCACAAATCAATGACATTCATATTTCGATTCAAGTATATAGTATAAGAAGTAGAAATGAAAAATAGTTATAATTCAAAAGATGTACGATGTACGACTTACATAATATATATTGTTGTACATAGTAATTTCACCCAGAATGAACAGTTCTATATTTATAAATGAAACAGTATACGATATTGCGTACATGTTTTTTTAATGTTTTATTCCACAACATTAAAACGAATTCAGTCACGGATTAATAAATTTTGAATTTACAGTATGTGATAGCTGTGCCAAAGTAAACTTATATGAAATATCATCACCTAAGTAAAAGTGCATCTAACTAAAATAGAAGGCAAAAAATGAGAGATTTTATGTAAAACTAAAAAGTATTGAGCTAATTTCAATATTATACCAAATATTACACTGTTTAAGCACTTTAAACTAATTATTAGACTAATTAAATATATTTAACAAAATTTCAATTAAATAAGCAAACAAAAAATAACGATTAAGAATAATTTAGCAGTCACAATTTTTTTTTTATATATTATTTCAAAACTATCTGATTACTGTGCGATTTAAGTAAAACTAATCAAAAGATATTCTATACAGATAAAAGTCTAGAGGAGAGACCCAGAAGGCGTTGGTTGGAAGAAACTAAAGAAAACGCGGAGAAAATGGGAAATGATGATTGTGAATAATGTATTAGAGATGTATAGACAGCTGATGGAGGGAAGTTGTGTCGGCAACTAAGGTTCTTGAAGAGCTGTTAAGCTAGAAAAACAGAAGCTAAGGGTATCGTTAGGGGAAAAAAATAGAAAATTATAAAATGTTATAACGACGGTGGTCGTTCAAGAGGCACGCAAAGGGAAAATACATTTTAAAAAGAAGATTTCAAAACCATCGTATTCAAATCAGTAAAATATTGTACGTACGAAGTAAGTTACACGAACGGAGACGTTCTACAGTATAATGTATTATTAATAAAACGATTTTATTCGACTAAATATAATATAATATCTCGCGTATACAGATATAAAAACGAAATCCAACAATATACTGGAAAACTATTAAAAGTATTAAAAGTTTGTTTAGGGAGTTTATTTCCTTTGATATACATTGAATATAAAATAATAATATTGCCGTTTTACTCCGGTAGTAATAATAAAATTATTTTCTTTCATCTTTGTACGTCATAGTCGTATAAGTTTGTCGGTAGGCACCTATATGCTCTCACGCATGCGTATATAATGCATATTATAGCCGAGTCCTAAAGGACCCGCTGACGCAGAAACAAACGCGCAGGTACTCGCATATTATTATGTTCACGTCGCGATAGGGTCTTTTTTCAATATAAAAACACCGCGGAACAGTGATATTAATTGTTTGCTAATTCGCGAGTAACATATGATAATACCGGACATATTGCGATTGAATTGATTTTGTTTTTTGATTTACATTATCTGAGCGTGGCCGACAATTTATTGGTAATAAAATCGCATATTAAGTGTAGTCGTGTGGGTGCATTGGTGAGGTAATTCTTTTTTTTTGTCAACGAGACGTGGAAAACCCGTGTAAAATATGCACGAAAAACAATGAGAAATAAGTACTACACATCACTCGAATAAATACAGCTAAACAAAAAAAAAAAAAAGAAACAGTACACTCTAAGCTCCGCTTAGTGTACTGTTCTATGATTACATCGCGGGCTTTTTGAATTTGTTTTTTTTTTTAATCATTTTTTATATTTTTAGAAAACAATATACAATTGCTCTTTTACGGGTCGGTACGCTCCGTTCACATTGACCTATCAATATTATCATATAAACCTCGTCGTCTGTATATTACCTACACAATAATATTAATACACGGTACGAGTATATTATTACGATGATGCGATACCCGGCTACTAAATTAAAAAATAACATCATCTATACACGGACCGTTGGCATTAAAAATAAAAAAAAAAAAAAAAAAAAAAAAAAAAAAACAATAGTATATCTACCCGTAAAAAGTCGAGCGTCACGCGCGTAAATTGCGCGGTAATTAAAATTATATAACATATATATGTACATATCATACAACAGGTACTCGGTCGTTGCAGTAAAAATCTGTCATTCGATAGTGTTCTATTTTTTTTTTTTTTTTTTTTTTTTTTTTGTAAATTCGTTGACCTCTTCGTCGTAGTACAATTACAACAGTATCCGTATACTACTGCTGTCTACAGTGTATTAAAGTGAAAAATAAAGTGAAAAACAGAGTGTTTGTCGCACACGTGTACCTGGGTATAGGTAAGGTACCGCCGTCTAAACAATAGATTGTCCAGCGACGTGACCTATTTCACGTGAATAATATCAATAAAAATAATGATATAGTATCGTTTTATTGTATTATTGAAAAATCGAAAGTCGCGGTAAAAAAAAAAACTGTTAGGTACAGTAACGCGGGTACAAAGTTTCCTAAAATAAACGAGCAATATATTGGAAAAAAATAACGCAGTTTTGCTTACGCGCGAGCCACTGTTGTAGATGGGTAGTTAGGGAGATAAAATAATATACAGAGTAATTTAGTTTATATACCGTACACAACGATAAATTATGACAAACGAAAAAAAATTTTGAGTGGAGTAGTATAAATTGGTCGTGGTTTTTTACTTGTCACCATGGAAACACTGCAGAAATCAACAAAAATCAAAAATCCAACCAAAAGACCTAGAGGGTCTGCTGAAAATGTTGATACATAATTCGTTTAAAGTACCACAAATCTGATGTTTCACGCTTTTTAAGGTACTTCATGAACATGTAAAAGCATTTTCACTAACCGAAAAAGCATTTTCCGAGGATAAAACACACACACACATTTTAGTAAAATTATTAGCCTCTTCACTACACTCAGAATCCTATATAAGTAATAATGTTGTTTTCTATTTGTTTAGTTTGTTTTATCATTTTTGGAAACATTTGTATACCATGCACATCACAATAAATCCAGTCCTTTCGACTGCAACAGTTAAGCCGAATTCGTCCGAAATCAAACGAGTTTTCAATATTGTTTTATACTATACACACTAAAACGCAAATAAAAACCATAAACACTGTACAACTCAACGAACAAATTTTTACTTTTTTACACAATGCTTTGTAAGTTTTTTGTATATTCAAAATACATATTTCTTTAATTCGAGTGTACATTTCATACACATACTACCTATCCACGAATATAACAAAGTATTGAAATTTAAAACAATGTAAATTTATTATATAATTTTTTTTTTTTTTTAGAACGTTGTTATCCATTAATTTTCTACTTACTATTTTGTTTTTAATATAGTTCTTATTAAATGATTCCGAAGAAAACGAGTACTTAAAGTTAGACAATCAATTTAATAAGGGCAACAAAAAAAAAAATAGAAGAAAAAACTTTTTAAATTTTGGATTCTATTTAAGATTATTTTGTTCGTCGACTTTACGCACGTATCTTTCGTGAACTATAATATCATCCGTTGAAAACTTCACGTTGAAATATTATATTATTATACCTATACTTAAGTTCAGAAATATTATAACGTATTTCCCAACGGAGGTATAAAAAAAATAACGACTATAGAAAATCCGAATAAAAAACAGTTTTTTTTTTTAAATTTATAAGCCGTATTATTTAAATGTTACGTGTTAATAATATGTTATCGTTTTGTTTTGTTTTTTTGTTTTTGGTAATACTGGGTCTTCTTAGCTTATACATATTGTAACCATTATACTTAGGCGTCAAGTTCGACATCTAGAGGTTTAAATATTTATCGTATAAGTAATATTAAAGTGTATTATTCTTACAGTATTTGTTCTAAAATCGTCTCATAATACAACAAAATGTTGTTTAATATATTATTTATGCACCGAATATTTATAATTTCTTTTTTTTTTCTCAATTCCATCCTCCCCCCAAATTATTGTCACACTTGATAAAACATAATATTTTATAGTTGATCTTTGTATCAGTGTATTATGTATTTGGAGAAGAAAATATTCTCGTGATAAATACTTTTATTATAAATACCTAGGTAAGTATACGTATTATTAATGACATTTTGTAAAAATGTTACGAAATATTCACCAGACGAAATGTATTAGTTATTATTATATATACCGCAATAATTATTCTCATTTTTTGGCGATATTTCGTAGATTAGACGACTTGACATTATAAACGTCAAGACTGTGTCATTTGAGTTCAATGAGTTTTACAATGTTGATGTAATTATTTATTTTTTTTATTTTTCGTGGAGGGTAGTAAAAATTATTAAAAAGTTTCACCCAACAAATATATAGCATATATACGTGACTGAAGACGGTACTTTGTTGACGAGAAAATAGGTCATTTTTCGAACTTGTTAAATGTATTGATCACTTTGCAAAAACTGAAATATTGTAAATATATTAAGATTACAATTGTATTACAAGTGTAGTTTCACGTTTGTATTCCCGCGATTTTATTTAATTAAATTTAAACGAATCCTGCAATACTCATTACTCGTAAGACATTTAAAATGAAAACTCGTAAAATAAATATACGAGTGACGTACAAACAAATCAATACAGTCACATGGCGTTTTTTTCAAAGATTCTTTTGATTGCTCGTGTCAAAATATACGTCCGAAATTATTAAATTCAGCTTGCTTGTGATTCAATCACGTATCAAAAACTTCTGTATATTTTTTATACAAAAAAACCGTCGATTTAAAAAAAAAAAAAAACCACCATATTTGAATAACTAAATTGTATATGATTCGTTTCTACGAATTCTTCTTCGATTCGTTCATATGATTCAGTTTATATTCTGTTTCAATTTTTCGACAAATTTCCGGATAACAATCGAGACAAACAATAATTTTTGATCAACAATATTCCAACATCTGCACCGCTGTTATAATATAAAGTGAGCGGGTATAATTATTTCCAAATTCCAATTTCACAAAGGGGTCTCGCTTGTTTTGTACGAGAATGACAATTTAAAAATGAAATCTGATAAGGTCGGCAGTTTGAAGGAAACAAAACCCAAAGTAGGACTATGGCTAAATAGGTATAGGCGTGTCAGCCAGAAAACACTTCGGACATAATGACCCCAGACTTGAAATAAACACTAAAATACATACATTTCTACAACAATGTGTCCAGATATCGTGACGCAGGAAATGTCCAATTAGAAGCGTTCAAAGAATGGATTTTTTTTTCCACGTTCGGGGAATATGCACATTGATAGCGAAAATAAAATTTTAGCCCACATGCCTATTTAGTTAGTCATATATAGCCGTATAGGGCTATGTGGGTATATTTTTATCGTTTAAACCGTGACTTTTCAAACCGTTTAAAATCACTGTAGAATACTTGTATTATTACACTTGTAGAATACTGCGAAATTCGGCGGTTCTACACGCCCAAGTTCGAAAATTTGAATTTTACCACGTTTTTACTTTAATACGAATGTACTGTAAAAATATGTATTACCTATAGTTGTAAATAAAAGCAAATTACCATTATGTGGCGTATTTATAGGGGCCAATGAAGCTGCATCATAAAACTTTAGATTTTAAAAAAAATCGAAATTAAATACCTGAAAGGTAATAGAGAGAAGCGATAATTTTTTTTTTTACATATTATTATAAATACCATCGGATAGATACCTGTAAAAAAAAAAAAAAAAAACAATAAATACGCCACTAGAATACGTATATTGATAATTATAATGATTTAGATATTGTATCGGACGCATAATATGTGCAATGATGACGAATATAATGTATAAATATACATCGTGATTAGAGTATCGGCATATCGGATATTGGATTATACGGATATCACGATTATTTTCAATATCGATATTTGATCCGATGTTTTCGGAGAAAATATTTCTAGCACATAGACTTCGACGGGGGGAAAAATCTAAAATAACGTGTAGGTATATTAATATTATTAGAGACGTATATCGTGCTATGATGGTTACGCGTAAAATCGATAAACCGATATACCGGTAACAAATACTGGAATATCGGAAAAAGTTTTCGTCGTCGGTTCACCGCTAATCATAATATTATAATATTTATTAATTTCAGTTCTGTATTTTGTTTTTATCGTTAAAGTTTTGTTCGCCGGTATATTTTGTGTTGTTTTAAAATTGTAAAACTCATTTTGATTTTAATGTATTTTTTTTTTAACGCTCATTGCATTTTGTTCTAATTAATATTTATTATTAGAGAACGCAAATAAATTATAGCATCCAAAACGATTGAATATTTGTTTCGAAAACGGTTTTCGCCGCGCAATAACGTTCGTCATAAAATCAATAAACCATAGAAATTCAATTTACAAAACACCAGTTTGAAAAGGTATTTCTCGCCTTTCGAACATTAATAAATCACGCAAAACCCTGCATTTAATGTTTGGAAACTTTCAAAGTTTCCAAAGTGAGTAGAAAAAAAAACACATTTCAAAACATGTATGCGCGCTGTGCGTTACACCCATATAATTAATTACTAAATTATATATTAATATATTATATTATATTTTCGTAAATGTATTATTTTAATTAAAAATTATAGTTAAAAAAAAAAAAATAACACTCAACTATAATAATATATGAGCACAGTTAATAATATTATACTCTTCCGATCAGTAAATATTACTATTGAAAATATAATGTTTCGTATTGATTTTCTGTTTTCTGTTAACCATCTTCCTTAAATAACTTTTAAATACCGGGCGATAACGAATAGCGTTCTAATATCCAAATGATTTCGTAAATAATTTAAATCACAATTTTATTAACGAACTATCAACAGATGTCTAAAAAATTGATTATCATCCTCGATTTGTTTTCTATACGTCATATAAATAACAATTAAATTACGATAATTGGTACGACATATTATATTCAGGTTAGCAAACTTGCATCGATCACAGTTGAGAGAACTATTATTATTGTAGCCGTTCTATCTTCTTCTCAACGCTGACAGTAATCCAACGTAAAAATTTATACGTTATATATACTATTATTATTTATAGCTATAGTCCAAATCATAATTTTTTTCCTGCTAGAAAACTTTGAAGAGCTTTCGACGGTACTTTTTCTAAAAGCCTACGTACTCTAAAGAATATAACTTATAGAATCATCACCGGTGAAATGAAAAAATATTATTTATATGTATAGATTTATTACACGTTATTACAATATTATAAGTGTATATCTAATTAAATATACATTTTATTTTTTGATGGATATGAGATAATAAACTGTTTACCCACCTCGACAATAAATTTGAATAAATCAAGTTTCGTATTATACCAATATTGATGGTAAAATTTAAATATTTGTTTAATAACGATTTTTATTATAATATATTTATAAATGCCGTATTTGAGAGGTGGGTACATGAAAAACGTATAATAGATTTTCTCATTATTATTTTTCTTCTCGAAAAATTATTCTATTCTGTTAAAATATTAATAACTCACTATAAAACTCGATTTGTTAAATATGTTTTACCCGCTGTCAAAACTCTCTTTCGAGATATTTGTGTGCATTTTGTTATTATTATTATTTTACGAATTTTAAAACGATATTAAAATGTTAAACGTTTACGCCTTTTTACGAGAAAATTAGATCAAAATACAAAATAAATAACTGTATATGTTAACGAAATAACTTTTAGTTCTTAATTTTTGTAAATCGTCAAAGTAAATATATCGCACAAGGTTGGTGCCATTAACATAATTAGAACTGCGTTAAAATCGAATTTATTATTTATTTTTCTAATTTATTTTTGTTTATTTTATTAACAACTATTGGATCAATTGGACCGGTTAAGAATATATCTTTGAAAAAAGTAAATAAAAGTCGATTGATCTCTTCTCGTTACAATCCGAAAAAAATAAGACTTATTTATTCAACTAGACAAGTATCTTCTTTCTCTTGCCCAGTGAGGTCAGCTACTCTAATTCTCAGTTATCCATCACCATTCCACCGTCTAGTCTAATCCATATACCATTATCCCTCTCTCTAGCCATTGATTCTTAAACCTGCCTCTTCTCTTTATTATAGTTTCTCTTACCAAACACTCAAAATACTTACCCGTACCATTTAAAGATGTTATCTCTCATTATTTCCTGGTAAACTCAATATTCGTCTTATAGTCCTATATTACAAGCAGTCTACAAACAGAACTTATTGAAATGGATGACATATGTTTAACATTCAAATTAAATATAAATGCAGTAAAAACAAAAGTAATAGTATGTAATAAATAAAATGAACCAAATATTAATATATCCCTTAAAAAAAACAGAATAGAGCAAATAAATCAATTTAAATATTTGGGAAGCATAATAAGCAATAATGGAAGATTATAAAAGGAAGTAAAAAGTAAAATAGGGTAAGCAAAAAGAGCAATCCTACTTGGAGTAAATAGTAACATCAAAAAATGTAGATCTAAGAAAAAAAAAAAAACGTTTTATTGAAACGTATGTATGATGAAACCACTCTAAAAGTTTTAGAAAATGTGGTGTTGGCGAAAAATGAAAAATATAAAATTGACAGAAATGAAGTACAAATGAACAAATGTTAAACTTAGTCAAAAAAAAAAAAACCTTGCTAAGTAATTTAAGATTAAGAAGATGGCATATGATAGGTCATGTGCTATGACACAATGGAGAACTCCGTAGTATCATACTGGAAGGTATGATAGAAGGGGAACGCGGAAGAGGTAGATCAAGAACGTGTTATATAGGTCAAATAATCAAAGATGCAAGAGTCTATTCTTGTAAGTAACTCATATATCACCCTTTGCAATAGTGTTAACCAACTCCTTTTAGGTATTCATTTTTTACCTCATTTTATCCACATTCATTCATAAAATAACTTTTACAGCTTCTGACTCCTTTCTCTTTTCATCAAATACACATACCAAACCATCTCAGTGTACTCTCTCTTATGATCTTATCAATACTAAATATTTAAATAACGTCCGTGCTACCCCTTAAAGGCGCATTTCTTATTGTGTCATACATCCATCAACCCGTTTCCGTACGTCTCCGCCTTTCCTATACTATTTTCTGATCTATTGTTTTGGTTACTGCCCAACAATCCACCCAACATTCTGTACAAAATATCGTTTTCCAGTTTAATATTATATAATTACCAAAGAATCGACGATTGTAAACCCGTCAGCGGCGGCCGCCTGCACGTTATCGCCGTCTCCTACAAACACCATTTCTAAGGCACCGGACTCAATCTCATCTACGTTAACTTGGTCGAATAGGACGCGGCGCAAAGGCGCGACCGCGGTCACCGTGCCTTTGACCAGCCGGTTAACGTTGGTTCGGCGGAGTGTCAGGTGCCGGAGCGTCCGGTTAGCCGGCCCGAAGCCGTCGAGTACCAGTTCACCAACGTCTTCGACGGACAGACTCTCCAGGGCCGGGAAAAGGCCAGCAGTGTAGTGGAACAACTTCATGTCACGCACCGCAACCCGAGTGAGCGCTGTGCACTCAGATAGACCGGACGATGGCAGTGACACGAATCCGCAACTGGCTAGCGTCAGGTCCCGGACGGACGACAGTAACGCGGAATCCTGTTCCCGGAAGATCAACAACTACGAACAAAAAAAAAAAAACAAATGTACGTTAAGTCATAGTGCGTTAAAGCGTTAAAAAATGATTAAGAAATAAATAGTTAAAAAATAAAAGTGGCGGAAATTAGAAGGTGTAAGATGCTGTGTGTAATTTTCACTTTTTATTTGTGATATATCGCTACGTCCTCGGAGTTTATTTTATTTAGATTGTGTATAGTAAATACGAAACATATTATTTGACCGTATCGCATAAATCGAGTTTCGGTAAATGACACCGGTTTTATCAAGTCGTATTTGATATCGTACGAAAATCAAATAGAGAAAATAATAACAACATGGGCCTCGGTCGAATCGAGGGAGTGAATTTCGTTTAAAGTTCCAGAGACTAATTTTATAACTTCTCCACATCAGGATCTTGCGATAAAATGATTATACGATAGTGAATACCATTTAAACTTCGTCTCTTTACGTCAGCGAATGAAATATTATGCGTATTTCCTATATGGGTTCAGAAACGTAATTCGAATTTTTCGAAAATATAATATGTATTTCTTTAAAAACGTTAAAAATGTCATTCGGTAATATTAAAAACAAATAACTTTAACCGTCCATAATTTATAACGTTCTACATAGTATTAAAGTTTTTAATAATATTGTTGATTTTTTACCAACAAATAAGTGATACAATTCCACAATATACAAAAAAAAAAAAACAATTATTCTGACGACAAATATAGTAATACTAGTAAATAAACAAATAAATAAAATATATATATATAAATTAGTGATTTAGATTATAAGTTTAGCAATAGCATAAGTTTAGTTGTATTCATTTTACTAAAACGTTACTGGTTAAAAAAAATGCTTAGTTTTTTTCATGCATTGTACTTTTCTCGTAATATTAATTTATTAAAAAATTAACAACAAAATGTTTACCGACAGTTTTTTTTAAAAAATAAAAATAACCAAAACAAATGTTGATACATTTATTTTTGTTGATTTTTAGGTTACCGTGATGGCTACAAGGGGAGAAAAACGAATACTACATAATGTTATTGGTTTACTGAGCGGAGCTCAGAATTGTTTTCGTACAATGATTTATCATTGCTTTCAGTGTAGTGTACATACGAAATATCGTTCTAAATACCTTCCGAACTTTCCACCAACGACGGTGGTTTACACATAGCGCGAAGTACGTAGGTATTTTCGGCATTTTAGATTCTGAGTGGAGCACAAAAGCTTACGGTTTTACAAAGATATTTATTTTTTTTTTCTGTAGACAACTTTTCTACCAGCAATTTCGCTCTAAATTTTAATGATAGCAATGTTTTTGAAAGAAAACTTCACTGGCGAAGTACTTTAAAAAAGTCGATTTCCCATTTTTCCCTGAGTTTATTCAGTAAATGTGAAAAACTGGGAAAACAGGGAAAATCGGTGCAACATTAAATAAATATTATTAAACAAAATATATAGAGCCTATTTAATTATTTTACTATGTAGCATATATATTGTTCACAAAGCATCCCTATCAACTGAACTCCGCTAAGAATCGTGTTTTCGTAAGCAATGGTTTAAATCGTTGCTTACATTTATACATCAAATTACCTATAACAGTGGCTGCACCCGTCCCCATTATCCTAGGACGTCTTTTTTCACTTGTTCGTTATAAACGTTATAATATTAACGCAAATTAACATTGAGAAAATTAACCATCGTATACGGTATTATTGATAAACAATAAACAATTATTAAGGACATTTTGTATACTATACACCTAGGTATAGGTTTGATTGATATTTGATCCGCCGGGAAATATTCAAATGTGCTTATTATGTGTATAATAGGGTTCTCGCGTCGTTTTCTGAAAACATATTTCTCATTCGTCCGTATATAGTATTGTTATACACCTATACAATAATGTGTTTGGTATTTATTTCTTTATTATAGTAGCCAACAGTTCGACAAAATGCCTGGGTATTTTTTTTTTTTTTGCGCGTAAGCTCTTTTTTTTTCTTCTCTTCTTTAAATAATCCATTACGATAACAATAATAATAATAGCGGTGTTCGGTTCGAATGTACTATTGCTTTCGTATGTTTTTAGAACACAATCACCGTTACCCGCCTGCATCGCGAGGCTAATCGTTATAGAGGCTTATCGTTTAATCGAGACGCGAACGAAAAAAAAAAAAATAAAAATAATATTCATCGTCTACTACACCCTCGTCGAACCCTTCACGCTCGAGAAGAAAAATGTTGCTTATGAATTATTTTATTATTATTGTAATGGCCGCGTCTGCTGTGCAGCATCATTTCGTCGCGATCAGGTTTTTACTCAATATAGGTGTGTAATGCGTATGCACACAAGAGCATACCAGGTATAATAGTGATTTGTCCGTGATGATGCGTACAACAGACGAAAACGTTTATTATTATTATTTTTTTTTCTTTTTAATAACAATAAATCAAACGAAACTTCCACAAAAAAAAAACTTATAAACGGGTTAGGACATCACAGAAATGATTAACGGTTTTTAAGATGATCCGAATATTGTAATCGTTCTTATTATATGGGTATTGTACCATTGTCGTATTATATTATTATAATAATATTATATTTTTCAACAATATTGCCGTTGATTGTTATATTATTATTATTCGAACTTCCCGTTATAATAATAATAATAATAATAATGATATTTTATTGTCGCGGTGATCTATTAATCACGGAAAATACGGGTTTGTATAATGTTATAGGGACAGGGGGAGCCTGAAAACTCGTATCTGTCCTGAGGACGAGTAGAGAGGGAGGAGGGGAAGGAGTATAGGAGGAACGATTACTATACTTTTGAGTACTCGAGTTGCCCAGGTAATATAATATATATATTAATATAGTGTTGTACATTCTTGAATATTAAATTGACAATTATATAGTATGTCCCGGAACTACATAAGTATAGGTGAATACTCTCTCGCGCTGCACCGTCACACTCGACTAGTTTTCCATATAATAACATTTTGTAAAGCTCGAAAATTAAACTAAAACTTTGTTTAGAAAATATATTCGGTTCGTTATTTTGTTAATTAAATCTCGCGTTATTTTAATGGAAATAATTAGTAGCTTTTCATTATATTATTATTATTATGATTATTATTATTACTTATTATAAAAGGTCATAAACTTTAATGTTGTTAGCTCTTGGAGATAAGACGCTTTCTGCTGTGTGCTGCAGCATCACAAGAACCTAAAACAATTACACGGATGTACGAGACGAGAGACTATATATATATATATATATTGTATATCTAAGTATATGCGTGCCGGCTGCTGTTATCAAATTCAAAGAACCCGACCAATTTTGTAACAACATTAATTTAGATTAGATTCAAATCTTGGGGAAACATTGATCTAATGAATATTAATATTATATTCGTAGATGATGGTTCCGTGTGCGAATTAGTATAATTTTAACGTGTTGGTAAAGTCGTTAATGAATGAAAACTACGCGCGGTGTATAACGTAGTTATTACATTCAAATTATTTCAATTATTGCAGTACCTAGTACCCAAATCGAATAATGGTCTTTATTAGGTATTTGTCGTTATAATTAATATTAAATAATAGATCAACGCGTTTAGATATTAGATTGAAAAAAAAATAAAGCTAATAATGGGAATAGATGTGCCACTGTTGTAGGCGAGAGGTTGGGAAGGAAGAATAAATAATGCTATATAATTTATATTATATGCACACCACGACAAACCATTGCTAATAAATAACCATTCTGAGCGAAGTTTAGTTAATCATGTTTTGAAATTTCGTGATTTTTATGATCCAAATATTAAATATCTATAAATAGCTCAAAAATCACCAGAATATTTTGAAAATATTATCACTTCTAGAAAAAACAAACGTGTAAGTATTCTATGAAACTACCAGATCTCTACGATTGTTTTTTTTTCTATAGAATTACAAAAAAAAAAAAACAACCAAACTGAAAATAATGAAACAGTTATTAACCTTTCCGTTTTTCCCAATTATTAAGAAAACTAAAAGGAATATAAAAAAATGGCAACTTAATGCACCTACAAAATTCAAAGTGCTACAAAAATTCTTTCTTATCGTTCTTTAATACATTCCTCGGGACGCCGTGTATACGGTTGAATAACAAACGATTGAATATCAACATTTTAAATTTTTAATCACTTCAATATCGCGAATGTTCAAAATGCTTGAATAGCCAAATCATGAATGGCAAACGATTGAACGTCAAAACCTAGGTGGTTTTCGGAGGACGGATCGTTACGCCTGTTGACTCCGCTCGCCAATTTAAGTGTCACTACGGAGGGAGTGGGGGGAAGAATAGTCGCTTACCTGACCTGAACCTAAATATAATATTACTACAACGAGGATAATGTCCTAAAGGTAAATATAAACTTCTATAATGTGAAATCAGGCCAAGATAAATATATTTGTGTACAAGATTTTAACTTTTAATCATTTGTTCTTCAATGTTTTGAAGGGTTTTATTCATCGCTCCACTCAAAATATTAAAAAAGCGCACTTCACAGTAAATCCAATACAACCTTCGCTGCACTTAGAATCTAAAAGACTGATGAGTTTGCGTCATTTTTTTAGAAGGGAAATTTGAATGGAGGATATATAGAGTCTGTATGCAACCATAAATCGTTGCTGACGAAAAACGATTCTGAGCTGAGTATATCAGGTAAAAGTTGTTTTTTACTTTTTTGTCTAATTAACCCAAAGATCATCAAAAATTGTTCAAAATATTGCTTGATCGAATTATAAAAAAAAAAAAAATATAATTCTATAAGAAAGTGCCTATGAAGTTTTTAATCGGAGCAAAATTTCCGGTAGAAAAGTTTTTTACTTCAGACACGAATAAACATCGTAGTAAAATTATTATATTATAAACTATTATTATTCGTACAGAATCTAAAAAAAAATCAATTTTTAATCAAACATTATATGTAATCTCATAGGCATTATAAGTATACATTTTATGCGATTCTTTGTCATTTTTCTAACATGCAATATAATTTATTTATGTATGTTAATAATACAATTTTAAAACGATGATAAGTTCGGCGTTCCACGTATTTAGAGGAATCGAGGTTCTGATGACATGTGTAGGATCAAATGAATTATTAATCATATTCCGAAAATTGACGCGTACTTAAATTGCAGAGAAAATTCGATTTTATTTGCGAGTATTTTATTATTGTTATATTATTAAGTTTTGTGATTCTGCTATCTACTTTAATAATTATTTAGTAAAAATACTTCAAAATTCAGTTTTTTTTTCTTTTTAATTAGTCATTACCATACATCTTTTCGGTTAGTATTTATAGATTCTTTTATGTTTGCAATATTGTCAATTATTTTATTTCTTTTTATAGAAAAGCAGCTATAAAGTATAGCGAGATTTAATTTTTACCACGAGACATATTTTTTATTCTCTTTTTGGTTTATTAGTTAGTTAATAATCCTTAAAATTGTAATTTTATTTTTTGTTTGGTAAAACGGTTTTGTAATTTGTATAACTATATCTTCACTTTATATATTTTAGGTTACCTACCTACCTACCTATTTTTTTTTTTTTTTTTTTACTCTATTATCTTCTAATTTTCCATTTTTTTTTTTTTTTTGTTATCGTCTTATATAATATTGTTATTATAACGAATGATTTTATGGTAATTAACTATTATTATTATTTTAATTTTCTTTTTTTTTAATCGTTCAAGGATCGCGGGTATGACTGAAACGGCAAAGAAAAATAATAATAATAATCGTAAAATCTATAATATTGCAACATAATAACAATAATACATAATTGCAGTTGACCTACTGGATGTGAATTTACGCGGATTTACGCACCGAGGAATTTTAAGGCTATCGCATAGATTTTAGAAAATTCGGACGAAACAATAACATTAGCTGCAGATCAAAATAATATGTTTTAACACAGCAACAGATTTCAGTGGCAGACGACTTTTATCAAATTGTCAATTAAATTGTACATAGGTATCTGTGGCCATAACCGTGAGATTAAAAGAGTTAATGTAGGTTTGAACGTTTTCAATTACGGTCTTGGGAATTCCTATGGGCTATGATACCAAATATCCTCCCTTTAAATGAGCTTCAAATCTGCCCCTTTTTATAGTATAAAGTAAGTGATACTAGTGTCGAATATAAAATAAAGAATTGATAAGAACTAGACAACTGGTTGACGAATGGCTAGTTTTGAATTCGTTTAAAATTCAAATATATTGACTAAACACGGGCGTGGTTTTAAAAATTGTCAATTGCGACTGAACACGTTTATAATTTAGATTTTGTTTTTGTTTTTATGTTACAAACATTCTATAACGAAAATGCAGAGTGCAGTTACAATGTATTATTATTATTATTTATATTTATCTTTATATAACCACTGTCGATTTTATAAATGTATCATAATATTATATCGACATAGTAGAAGCGCATGTATACCGGAAGACAGATTATAATGTGCGTTGTGTTAGGAAGTCAATGGACTTTTTACACAGATTATTTTAAGCAAATTAATAAAATATACGAATGTATTAGTATTTGTTTTAACTTTTGAAAATCCTTCGTAACGAATTTCAGTAAATATCTATACATCTGTATCTACGTTTTTCGATATTTATATAATTTGCCGAACGATGAAGAGTAAATATAGTTACAGTAATAATATATTGTTATCATCACTATTGAAAAATTATCCATTTACATCATTTCCCAATATTTTTAGGTAATTTTATTGACTTCCTTTGGACTAAATATGCTCGGAAATTCGGATAAAATTTTCCCTGAAAATAAAAACTATTGCAATGATATTTCTGTGTATTACGTATATTTATATCTCTCGACTCCCGTTGAACCAAATGAGCTTACGTTTTTTAATTAGAGTTGTTTAGTAGGCATATTATAGTGATAAAAGTTTGGTTGAATTTGTATATGAATTGTACCATGTTGTTATGTATGGCACACTCCTACAGATCCCTCAGATAGTCAGTGGAATGAAATATTGTATATGTACGGTTTAAGTTTCGATGGTGTGTCTTTTGTGGGTTTAAATTTTCAACACTTTCCCCAACCATTTTTATGTTCAAATCTTACATTTTCAAAAAAAATACCGGGTTTCAAATACAGATTAAAACATTGTAAAACACCGTCAACCATATAACCATTGTAGATCAATTATTTAAAAATAAAAATGAATTATTGTAGGGCAACAAGCCGACTGGGGAAAAATTTGATTTTAGTGATCGGTTTTTTTTTTTATCAACTGCAAGTAAATTATTTATTTTGATAATTAATAAAATAATAAGTTTTTAGTAATAATAAGATACTTGCACTTTCATTAACTTATTGTTTATTCGATAAATTGGCTTATACTTAAATTAATAAATTATTATACTCTATATTTGGGTGCAAAAAAAAATGTGTGCAGTTCAAGCACAAAGGTAAATTCAGTAAATAGATATTTTTTTCAATGTAAATAATAACTCAAACATATTATTTATTTGATTTACTTAATCATGACCAAATCAGTGTTATTGTTCTATATTAAGAAACAAATTAAAATCATTCGAATATGTAAATAGTCTCTTAAATGTGATTGTGTGTAGTTTAAAATATTTAAGTCGGTTGTAAAGTGCTCGTTTGTAAACTAAAAAATATTAATTCTAAAAAAGGAGTCGTCAGTCGATATTGCTGATGGCTATGTTACTGTTGTAGTTGGACATTTGGGAAGATAAGATATATAGAGTAAATAAATTTATATCTGTACGCAACAATAAATTATTTCTAACAAAACACGTTTCTGAGTGAAGTTCAGTTAAACATATTTTGAAATTATGAGATTTTTACGATGTTCTGTTGAAATTTTAACTTTAATAAAAAAATGTTTTAATGTTTTTTTTTTTTCGATCTTTAAGTGCAACTTAAAATAAACTCAATGCTAAATTTGTGTGCATTTTTACTTTGCCAAAACACTTTTGACTATGCAAAACCAAATGAAAACTCAAAACTCAAAAATATCAAATGCTATATATATATTTGAGATATAGCTCAAAAATTGCCAGAATATACTGAAAATATTTACATTTCTAGAGACTAATATTAGTGTTCGTTGAAAATGTCAGGAATATGTGATTTTAAAAATTAAATTAAAAAGTATAAATAAAATAAACATTAAAAGTATAAGATTAAATCAATTAGACTACATAAGAGTAAGATGCGAGGAGGCCAAGGGGGTCATAACCCCCTCCAAAATCTCCTCTGCGTAGACTGTGACCTTTACTGTGAAAATATAGTAGATGTACTCATATATAGATTCACGACTAATATATAATTATACAAATTCTTGACTATCACTCGTATTGTCCATTATTATCACATTTTTTTAAAATAAAAACTAAGTTATCATCACCAGCGATTTCCACAGACAAATTATCTGCTATTTTATCATTCTGCGGTAAATGCCGATGCTATAATGAAAACAATAAATCAATAATACGTTTTGTTTTCTTTAGAAATATAAATGGTTTTAATATTTGCACTAAATTATAATCGTATGGATATGACGTGTCAAACTAATGTAAATAAAATGAATTGTCTTTTAGATAGTTTTGTAACAATGTATTAATTAAATGCTCGTACAATATAATAGAATAACGTAGAAGTGTCAACCATTATTTATACTGTTCTCACTACATATAATACTTTATTTTGACAAGACGTTTTTGTGACAAAACTATCGAAAATAAAACTATCTATAAATCAAATAGTTATTTATAAACGAATAACGAATAATAAATACATAATACCTATAAAAAAAAAAAAAAAGCACAGTCACGGGGTTTGTAAATGATAAAATATAGACACATAAATAAAATATTATAATTACAATACTTTTATTATATATATAAAAAGAGATGATTCAGTATCAACAAAATATAATACTTGTAAAACACCTAATTTGCAAAAAATATTTTTCAGTAAAAAAACATAAAATCATTATAGTTAAACGTTTTAAAATTATGTTATGTTATATTTTATTGTAAGTCCAGTGATATTTTTGTGCATGTGTGTGTGTGTGTGTGTGTGTATGTGTATGTGAACGGATTTTTTCAATGATACGTCACAATATTATATTTTATTTAGTTTTCATTGTACATTTTCATGGCTAAGAAAAAAATTATTTAAAAAGATATTAAGGACGGGTGTTCCAAAGTTGTAGGGGGGAATTTAGAAAGATAGGATACATAAAGTTATTTAATTTACTTCTGCATGCAATAATAAACTACTGTTTATGAAAAACGATCCTGAGCAAAATTCATTTAAATATATTTTAAAATTCAGTCATTTTTATGTTATTCGTCAAAATTTAAACTTAAATGAATATTACGCTATACTTTTTCTTAAGAGTAAGTACAACTTATAGTCGACCTGTATTGTAATGTACCTTATAATGAACAATGAACTTAAAATGTATTACATTTTATATTTTGAAATATTTTTGTTTACCTAAACAATTTTATTCACATAATATCTTCAATACAACAAACTAAAAAAAATCAAAAATATCAAATAAAGCTCAAAAATATTCTGTGCACGCTTGAGCTCATTACGATTATTTTTTATCAATTTCCATCAAAAATAATGAAACCATCATATTATAAACTTTTTGTTTTTCTTAGACATTTTTTCCCCGACTTTCCTAGTTATTATAAAAATAAAATAATACACCAACTAGATCAAAAATACAACAAAAAAGGTGCTTTATCATTTTTCGATTGAAAACAAACCTTGGTAAAAAAGTTACTCACAGATAGAAACAAAAAAATTATACATACCAGTAAAACCAATATATTCCTCGCTCCAGTCAGAATAAAAAAATAAAAGGTATTATACTATATAGGTATTGAAAAATAATAATGATAAGAAACGCTAATGTACAGAGAAAAAACTTTGAAAAAGTAATAGGAGACTCAGCTCCTTTATAGTATAGATAATACCCCCCTTAGACTATAGAATTTTAAAATTAAGGCATATTAAAAATGTATAATCTTCCAAGTATATTTATTACCTCAAGTCTATGCTGATATAGATACTATATGTTTCCCTCGAGAGAACAGTGAGAAATATGTAGAACGAAAGAAAATCCCAGATAGTGAAAACTTCGAAACTTCCCGTCTTCGTCATCCTATTGAATTTACTAAGAGAATTATCTATAAAATGAATTATGTCCATAATTTATTGACCGTGTGCCCAATTATAAAGATATCCTCCTGGTTTAAAATGTACAAAAACCATAAAACTATACACGATAAAACGAAATATTATAATTATCACGTGTGATGGTCGACAAACTCTGTTATTATTTGTTAAATTATTGTTGACCGTATAAATGCTTGAAACAATCAACAGGTCACGTGATGTTTCAAATCAGGATTTCAGTAGGTCGGTAGCGGACACATTTTATTAGGTAAACTACGTTAAAAATTCCGAAAACTTAATAGGTACGGTACATAAGAAAAAAAGAATAAAAAATCCTCCTACATGAGGTTTTAACGTCAAAAACGCGACAAGTGGATAGGTACCTCGACGTGACATACACAATGAGCCGTCACCGCACGTTATAGAAAAGAAACCGGTTTCCCCCAAGCTGCCCCAGCGGTTGATTACGTTGGTCGTTTGGACAAGTGTAAATATTTTTATTTAGAAACGAATTTATTATAATCCATTTTGGACGAAATTCCTATTTTATGAAAAATATCACGTGCAATGAAGTTCTGAAATTTAATAATATGCATCCATTGATATTTTATTTCATTTGGTTGTATGTGTTTTTTTTTATTGATCTGTACACAAATTTTCGGCTATAAATCTTGCTCTAATCAAAAAGTTTTTAAGAACTTGTATATAGAATTTGTTTTATCTATTTAGTGTATTAAGGATATAATTTTTGAATTTCCCATGTGGTTATGAGTCGGAAACACTGGTAATTTTCTTTGAAAATCTGGGTTACCTTGGCAATAAGAGAAAAAATACGATCAATAATATTCAGCTCAGAATCGTTTTTCATTAGCAATGATTTATCGTTGCATACAGATATAAATTACACTATAATTTACATATTTTCTTTTCCAACTTCCTTCCTAAAACTGTGGCACACCTATCAACAGAATCAGCTTTTATTTATTATTTTATGACTAGACGTTAAAAAAACTAATAAATAAAGGATATCGTTATCATATGTATCATGCAATTTCTAAAGAAAATAATATGATTAATGTTTGCAATTGAATAATATTATTGATATTAAAGAAGCAATTAAGTTTTTTAATGAAGCGAGGCAAATATTTTTAGTTGGACAAACTTACGAATAACCTATTCTTTAAAACAATGTATGGAAAGCTCAAAATAAAATATGAATCACTGTAAACTTCTTCATTCCGTGCCACTTCTAGTTTACATAGGCATAAAATGATAAAATATATTGGGGGAAGGGCCTGTGGCTTTATTAAACATTTTTAGTGCGTAGAGTCTGTCCTGAAATCCTAAAATCCGGAAGGCGGCTATAATCTGTACTGAGCCCCTCCCGTTACAAGCTTGTATGATTATATACTTACTTTTGACTTGGTGCACGTGCAGTTGACCGTTACGGGGGCTACGTTGTCGGGCAAGCACTCGCACGAGTCGCAAACGGACGGTCGGCTTGACGTCACAGTGGTAACCTTCGGGGGGGACGCGAACGAAATTGCACAACACGTAATCGCCGTCAAGAACAATAATTTGAACATATAGTCGAAGGAATTTCCCATCGTAGACGCGGCGAAATGTTTGATACGGGTTAAATATTGTTATACGCGCGTTCGGGAAAAAGCGCCGGGAAAGACTTTAACACCGAAAACACCAAAATAACAACAATAACAAAAAAAAAAAAAATAATAATAATAAAAACTACTCAAAAACCCGAATATTATGACAACAGCGTGGCCGGGACACGAAGAACGCGCGTTTCGGACGGGCACGCGGTCGGAGGACTACTATTATAATGTTAAGCAGGCAGGCGGGCTGCAGGTACGCGGTAACTGCAGCTCTCGGACGTCGACGTCGGACGGACGGATGTATTATGATGCGGCCGGGTCGGGAACGCGAGCGACACTTTTCGGGATTATATTTGTTTTGTACGCACTTACTATATTATAATGACGCGACGGGAACGGAAAGAGGAGAGACCAAAAAAAATACACATGCATACATATATACGCATATAGTGCGTGTGTGTGCGCGTGTGTCGACCGAACCACAAACGCTGCATGTGCTGTAACAGTGTGCCGGAGGCTTATCATCGCCACCGACGCCGCCGACGCCGCCGGTGTAGGTATACGGTCCCCACCGGTGCGGTGTTCCGCTCCACCCCGCTCCACGGTCCGTACGGTCGCCACCGCTGCCACTGTCGAAGACGGTTTTTTTTTTTTTTTATTTAACGGCACCGTGAAGTACGTATACCTATCTGTATAATATTATAACGTAAAATATAAACGGTCTACTCCCCCTACCGCCCCGAAATTCGACCATAACCCAAGTCTCCGCCGGAGCTCAGCAGGGTACCCATACCTGCAGGCTGCCGCAGCCGCGCGTACCGCCGATTACCATCGTTGCCGTCGTCGTGTCGTTTTTGTTTTCATTTCTTTCCGCCACGTCCCTCGCTCTCTCATCCCGGCGTTTTCCGCTACCCCGACGAATAACCGGTATACGAGAGGGTACGACCAAATGTCGCGGTATCCGGCCACGCGAAGAACCGTCTCGTCGTCGTATACAAAACACTAAACGCGTTTAATCGTTTAAAATCCATTAAAATAATATTTTATTTCACTACAAATTCGACTGGATCGTGAGGCACCCGACGAAAATATTTGGTCATTTTACGTGTGTAATAATAATAACGGTTTAATGTCGTTTTTGATACCGCGTGCAAGATAACTCGTTTAATTCATTCCGTGGAGACTAAATATTGTTATTTTTCCAATGAAACAAAAATAAAATTACGAAAAATAATTCCATATTAATAATACTAACTAGTATTGTAGCTAACTGAAGATTATAACGTCTAAACGATGAAAATAGTTTTATTGAAAAATTAAAAACACCGAAGTATTAAAAACGTGAAGTGCTAATAGAATATTATAGTTACTTGTTAAAATTTACAGGGACCACTAAAAAAAATAGTAAACCTTAAGTTAGATCGTTTTTAAAAAAACCCGAAAATCTGAAATTTTAGATCCCGAAAAAATTATATGTGTTAAGCGTTCAAAAAAATTACTTTGTATTTTATTCTTCACAATAAATGAATTATTTTTAAAAATTGCCATAGAAAATTTAAAAAATAATAATAATTATAATAATATAGTAATAATGATACATATATGTTACCGGGTGATTCATTTAAGTGGGTACACTCATTATCTCAAAAAATCTTAGTTTTTTCCGGAATTCGTTTTCTAGACCATTTAAGAAACAAGCTGCTCTACAATTTTATATTTATGTTATTTTTTGTCACTCTTATTTTCGGGGATAAAACCATTACCTACTTTTGATTTTCAAATGACAACCTATATTAAAATATCCAGAAATAGATTTAAAATAAATTTTAGTGTAGAAATGTTTGATTTCCGTCAATCCGTTGACGAGATATTCCACTTTTGGTTTAGAGGAGAGTGGAATATATATATTTATGTTCCATGATTTTAGGTTTCCCAGTTCTTCGATTTCCTTATAAATATTATTTTCTATTAAACACGAAAACTTTGTCCTGTGTAAATACAATATTCTTCGGAAAATTAGCTTTCGAGAATTTTATTTTATGCTTGTGTTTGGAAGTCAAATAAATTACCTTTTAAAACCCAGCACGGGAAAAGCTTTTCCTGTGAGATGAGATGTTGTCATGAAAATTTACTGTGACAATTGTCGTTTAAAATCATCTCAATACAGAAGAAAAATCGATTTGATACTTTGTTTTTGTTTTTCCCTTCGGGTAAAAATAACCAAACGTCGTAGTCACTCTTCAAACATAATATTATTAATATTATACATTTGTGAGAATCAAAGAAACGCTAGTCTAAACAGTGGAGTATTGACAATTTCAAATAATAATTGTATGCACCTACTTTTAACATTTTACTGTGTATCCCTCCTGGAAAAATAAAAATAAATACAAAATAAACACACTTTATTCTTGAACACTTTTCAAGTTTTTTTTTTTGTGAATTCTACTCGCATAACAAACGTAATAATATCATAAATTAAAATTGAACAAAAATAGCAGAGGATATAGTTATATAGTGATAATCCGAAAAAAAATCCCCAAAACAACTATACTACCAATAATAATAATATTTAAAAAAGTTTACAGACGTACCTACTTCAATTTTAAATATATGTATAAATTATCGTCTAATAATTGTCATCCATATCGTTATTTAATCTATGGATTACAAACGAAACAAATATTCCGAAAAAAAATAATTTTTTGAATATAACTGTGCTATCCACTCTCTTAAGGAAAGTCCGCGTAACTATAATTTTAGTTACCAAATATCTAAAAGCAATTGTTTAGTTGTAGAATTAATCGTCGATTAGTTGTAGAATTGGGGAAATACATTAGAAAAAAATCACATAAACATATTATGGTATCTACGCGTTATTAGTTATTAATTTATTACATAGGTATTACGGTTTATACTTTTTCAATTCCTGTTGATTAATTTCGATCTGTGCGACTGTGCAACTATGGAAATAATTAAATCCACAAAAGGAAAAAATAAAATATGTTTTAATGGTTATACCTACATACACCAAAAAGATTACAAGTTTTTTATTAGATGGACGTGTTCGAAATATAGTATTTTCAAATGTCTAGCTATTTTAATAACATGGCTTCAAATTGAAAATCCGACGGAGATTATATTTTATGATTTTTTAGCTGCTGTATCCAACAATACGCAAGCAAACTACTGATTGATACGATATTATATATTTTTTAAATTATTTATTATTATTTTTGACAGCTGTGTGCACAATATACACTCCTCATACCGTTGATGATTAAACTATATTCAATATTTTTTTTTTTTTTTATTGGTAGATTCATATAATTTTGACAGTAAAGTTGCTTTGGGGATTTATTTGCAGGGATTTTTTTCCTGGGGATTTTTTTTCTGGGATTTAATATAGTACGGTACTTATATATATACAGTTTCAATTGTGGAATATTTTAAATCAGCTTGCCAACTAATTAATGTGTAAAGTTACAATAAACATAATAATATATATAAGTATAATAATAATATCTTCTTCGGCATCTCTTTTTAGTCTTCTACAGTAAATATTCCCTCGCATAAGAGAGTTTACGTAAATCTACAAAACGAAATGCTATATACGCGCTTGCATTTACATAATAAGACAATTCAAAGTGTTCAAAGTGCTCTCTATCTCTTTCTTTATATCTTTCTCTGTGTCTCTGTGTAGTTTTGTATATTATTATTTCGTCTACATTTTCAGTACAGTTTATTTAAACGATATAATAATAATAGGAATTACGGATAATATTAATTTTTTTCTGTTTACGTTAACGCAACTTAAAGTAATTAGTTATTTTAAATAATTTATAACTACTCTTGTGTAAGTTAGAGGTAGATAGGTATAGGTACTAAATTTTAGATTTTGAGCGCAGCGAAAAGATGCGATTAGTTTTACTAAGACGTGTTTTTTTTGTCTAGGTAAGTAAAATAATGCTCCGAATTGTTCATATCGCATTTAAGATTCAGATTTTTTAACTGGAGGTAATTTATTTGAAAAATCTGTCTATACTCCCGACAGTTTTCATAAGAAAAATTTAAAAAAAAAAATCAATAACGATGATACATCAGTTTTAGCTTTGTCATTTTCGGGTTACATTTTGGCTAAAAGGAAAGCAAGCACAACTACTGCCTTGCTTAGAATCTTTTGTTAATTATAATGATTTATCGTGGCCTTAAGTACATAAAATAAATTACACTGTAACCTCCCCTCCCCTTATACAATAGAGAACTATCCATGGTATTAAATATAAGCAACTTTTTGAATATATAGGTAGGTACTTATTTGGATGCGTTTAAGCATAAACACCAATGTAATATAATTTTGTTCCGGATAAGAATATTTTTAATCCTTTGATTTTTATTGATCTGTTCGGAACGAAATGTTCGGTCCTGGTGTTGAGCTTGCAATAATATATTATTATAGTAGCAATCGATCTGTTCATTACGTTATCTGCATTTAAGATTGTTTTATTATATTAAAGTTTGTTTTAACACGATATAAAATAATATTATATAATATTATTATAATTAATGGTGTTTACGACATTGATGATTAATAGCTGATTTTCTATCAGTATACGCATACTAATATTATGCCGTGTGGTTTTTGTTAAATCATTTCCCCGGTTTAATTGAATATTTACTCGTGTTCGTAAATTAATGCGATTGAATTGTTTTTATTATGATTACCTATTTATTTTTGATTATATTTTGTTGTAGTTATCACATGTACTTTTTAAACTGAAGCGAACGATTATTATAAATGGTTTTTTTTTTTTTTACATAGTTTTCCTTTATAGAAATATAGAAAATTGAAATAACGATAACGCTTGATTAAATAATATATTTTATTATAACGCATAATATTATTATGTTTAACAAACATTTAAATATTACACGCATAATAATGAAGTCAACAATTTCTATAGATAATATAGATTCTGATAATATGGTGTGTTTAAACTAACTATACAAATACAAAACATCAATATCTTTCTAAAGTATAATGTATACATATTTTATTTTATCAATTTAAGAAATAATATGCTATTATAGAAATTATAGATAAATTATTAACAATTAAAAAATACAATAGTTATATTTTTAGAGCTTGAAAATCGATTAAAAATGTACGCAGTTAAAACGTGTCCTAAAAGCACAATAATAGTGGACCCTTGAAATATATATATATATTATAAAAAGATGCCCTAAGATAACTGGGTCGGTTGCGTGCTACTGTTATAAGTAATGTGATGTATATCTGTAAGCAACGATAAACCATTGAGAAAAAATATGTATGTATATAATATTATGGTGAAATAATTGTATAGGCATTATATATATTCTTTAAAAATATTTGTTTAATTTTGTACCGATTTTCCCGTTTTTCCCGGTTTTTCACATTTTCTGGGAAAACTTTTGGGAAATCAAAAACTTACCTTTCTAAAGTCCCCCC